CATAAAAAGCTGGACTATGACGATCTTTCAGTCCCAAACTGACATAAAATCTTGAACAGAAACAGGTAATATGGGCCTTGTCTTCACGTAGCAATAGGAGTTTCAAATAAAGTTTAAAATATAATGAAACCTTCCAAAAGTAGAATGTTCTTGAATATTCCTCCAGGGAATTAAGTCAGTGTTATTTTCTAGATACTTGAAGTAGAGCTTGAGAATAATTGGCATTCCAAGAAAAATCCAAACAATTGGGTACGTCGGAGATATAAATTGAGAATCCAAAATTTAGGTTAGGTCAAATTATCCAAAAATTACTGTCCAATCACCAGAATAAGTCTTCACCATTTTCAATTTTCATAAAGTTGGCTCGCAAATTACATAAAACGAATAAAAAGGAACAAACAAATTAATTCTAAATTATTTAATAAAATAAATATTTTCAGAATCTCGAATCGTTTGGGAATTTTTGATTTAAGGAAGCTTTTATCATAAAGGTTATTCAACGAATTCAATAATAATTAAAAATACTTGTGAATTGTAAAATATCAAATTTTACAACGTCACAACCAAAAATTTGGATGCCCTGGCAGGCGTAATATACTATTTTTTTAAACAAGGAGGACATATATTCTTTAAATGACCCTAAATAAAAAAGTAAACGCGTAAAAAACCTTTTTTAGTGAAGAGGAATCAGAGTTATCTATTTGTTAATTAATATTGTTTACAACAATTTAAATACATTATTTTACGTTTTATTAATTACCTGGTGGTCATATTGGATTAATTTAAACTGATTTTGATTATGTGCATTAGCGGAATAAGAAAATAAACGTCCTTTTTTCAAACATTGTATTAATTTGTTAACTTTAATTGAACTAAAAAATTATAAACAATTAAAATTTTTAAAATCGGACTTGAGGGATGTCTAAAGAATTTATTCCCCTTTAATTTTAATCAAAGAACACTCAAATCGTTCCAAAATTGTAGGCTGTAGACATTTTTGAACAGTAAATTGTAAAAAAATCCCACTGTGGGCGCGTCAATAGCACAGCGCGCGCGGTCCACATGAAAAGGGCCCATATTGTCGGTTCTAGTTTTCAAAATAATCGCAATTTAGTAATTTTCAAGCAAAATCTTAATTTTTTTTATTATCAATCTACATGTTTTGACAAGTCGAATCATGCGATTTTCATTAATTTATCGATAATTTAACTGTTTGCTTTCATTGGTTCTTTAGAAAAATGAAAAGGGCCCATTTTATCGGTCATTTGCAAAAGTAATCCGTATTTTAAAAATGGAGGTGTCGGAAAATTTAAAACCTCTTGATTTTTTATCTTTAATGTGTCCTGGACTGTAAACAACTCTTATCTAAATAACTTCCCAGAAGAACCAGAGATATTGATGTGAGAGTCTTTTTTCGTAATTGTCGAAATAAAAATTTGGATATTGCGTCAATTTTTTCATAATAGAGCTGTCAAAAAATTTTAAATTAGTTAAATATCTATTCTTTTTCTTGAAATGACACAATAAAATTGTACCTAATCATTAATCTTGTAAAAAAATGGTTTTTTAATAGAAAAACTGTCCTTTTTAGAAAAGGGCCCATATTGTCGATTTTTCGAATTTTCAAAATTAAGAGGGGGGATGGTTTTAAAAATTTTTAACTTATTGGTTTTTAATCTTTTAGGTACCCTGGACTGTTAACAATTCTTATCTGAATAACTTCCCAGAAGAACCAGAGATATTGATGTTAGCGTCTTTTTTTCGTAATTGTCGAAATGAAAATTCGCATATTGCGTCAATTTTTAGGGTTCCGTACACCATAGGTGTACTGACGGAACCCTTATGAAATCACTCGTGTGTCCGTCCCAGCCACGCAAAATGGGATGTCCCCCCCCCTAACTTCTACAAATCTCAACCTGGTGAGTTGAAATTCGGCAGGGATCTTCAGTTTTAAGTGCAGATTACAGGAAAAATATAGCGAACCCGATTGACGGACATATTTGCGAACTAGGAGGTAAAGAAATTCAATTTTTTCGAAAAAAATGACCCTGTCCCCCCCCTTAACTTTTGCAAATCTCAACCTAGTGAGATGAAATTCGGTAGGGATCTTCAGTTTCAAGTGCAGATTACAGAAAAAATATAACGAACCTGATTGGTGAAGATATTTGGGAACTAGGAGGGAAAGAAATTGAATTTTTTTGAAAAAATTGCAAAAAATGACCCTGTCCCCCCCTTAACTTTTACAAATCTCAACCTGGTGAGTTGAAATTCGGCAGGGATCTTCAGTTTTAAGTGCAGATTACAGGAAAAATATAGCGAACCCGATTGACGGACATATTTGCGAACTAGGAGGGAAAGAAATTCAATTTTTTCGAAAAAAATGCTAAAAATGACCCTGTCCCCCCCCTTAACTTTTGCAAATCTCAACCTTATGAGCTGAAATTCGGTAGGGATCTTCAGTTTTAAGTAAAGATTACAGGAAAAATATAGCGAACCTGATTGGTGGAGTTATTTGCGAAATTGAAGGGCAAGAATTTGAATTTTTCGAAAAAATTACACTGTCCCTACTTTAACTTTTATAAATTTAAACCTGGTGAGTTAAGATTCAGCTTGTATATTCTTTTTCAAGTGCAAATTATAGAAAAAATAAAGAGAATGTGATTGGCGAAGATAAGTACTATAAAAGAAAAAATATAAAGATTTATTAATAAAATAAAATAATAAAAATATTTATTCGAAATTTAAAAAAATATATTACTATTTTTTTAATTATTTTTTTTAAATTTTGTAAGAATTTTTGAAATAATTTTTTTATAAACAATGAGTTTTATTTTGGTGTACGGAACCCTCGATCTTAATGCGAGTGAAACTCGCACTTGTCCGATTTTTTTTTCATAATAGAGACTGTCAAAAATTTTTAAATGAGTTTAATATCTATTATTTTTCTTCAAATGACACAATAAAATTTTACCTAATCATTAATCTTGTAAAAAAATGGGTTTTTAATAGAAAAACTGTCCTTTTTAGAAAAGGGCTCATATTGTCGATTTTTCGTATTTTCAAAATTAAGAGGGGGGATGGTTTTAAAAATTTTAAACCTGTTGGTTTTTTAACTTCAAGGTGCCCTGAACTTGAAACAATTCTTATCTGAATAAGTTCCAAGAAGAACCAGAGATACAATAATTAGTTGGTATCTCAATCTTTATTTCTGTTTTTCTCGAAATGAGGTTTTTGGCGTTCTATACTTTGAAATTCCGTAACTCAGCGAATTTTTAACCAAAAAAGTTCTAAAACCACTCAAAATGTACCAAATTTTGCCAGGAATATGCCCATATAGATAAGTCCAATAGTGCCAAAATGGGCCTTTTTCATGTGGACGTCCACATATAAAAAACTTTGTTTTATTAAAAAAATTATTTTTTTATTTAAAATTTAACAATACTTTTAACCCTGCAAAAAATACCGATGCTAGATGGAGAAAAAAACAAGGCTTTTCCCCATGAAAAAATATGCATTTAACGCGAGATATTTTCACATACGATACTAGTGTGAGAGTCACATAAAAATCCTAGGATATTATGGCGTTTTAGCAGTATTTTTCTGCAAGTTTGCTGCAAGTTTTCCATGCAAAGTTCGCAAGTTTGTATCCAAGTTTGCAGCAAACTTGTATACAAATAAAAATGTCACCCTCTTGGCAAGTTTGCAATGAAAACTTGAGGAAAATTTGCAGCAAACTTTCTAAAATACCTAAAAAATTTAAAAAAAAATTTTTTTTTTCAAATTGCATATATTTTGATGAACGGTGCCTTCCCTGCAGGGAAGATGACTAAAATATAGTGCGCAGCTCTAGATGTCATAGTAAACTACTGCGCATACATTTAAGTTTTTGCTATTTGGCGCAAGTTTGCTGCAAACTTGCAGTGCAAACTTGCCAAGTGGGTGACATTTTTATATTTATGCAAGTTTGCTGCAAACTTGCAATACAAACTTGCGAAATTTGCATGTAAAACTTGCAACAAACTTGCAGAAAATGTCTGTGCTTTGTGGGATGGTACAAACGCAGGTCGCTCGCGATTTTTCTCGGTGATGTTCTTGCAACGAGCGATTAGGCCATCGAGAAATCCGGTGAAAGTCCTGCGATAGTAGTGTGACAAAATTAAGCCTAAAAATCTATAATTTTATCGTTCATTCTTATGAGAAGCTGCTACCTAAGAAAGCATGAAATGAAGTCACGGGGAAAAGCCTTGTTTTTTTCTCTTTTTTGTAATTCATAATCTTCTAATGTGCTAAAAACTTTTCAAGTTAAGTCCACATCCTGACAACTTAAATTTTAGAACATAGGTTTTCTTATGACATTTTCTAAACGAAATAAAAATAAAAATTTTTTGTGTTTAAACACTTTTGAAAGTGAAGACATTATCCTAATGATCATAATTAAAGCACCAGCTATATTTTTGACATTTTCAACAAACATTCATTTTGTTGTCACAAAGGGAATTTTCATTCAAAAAAAAATTCCTGTGAAAATGGTAGAAAATCCAACTAATACTAAAATGACTTGAATCGACCCAGAAACTTTGTTATTTCCTTAGCATTATTTTTTTGTTATTAGTTAATTTATTATTAATTATAACTAATTAAATTAAATATTTTTCTTGATTTTATATTCAATTCGACCAAAGAAATATTCGATTCTTATTTAGGGCATTTCCATGTGTGACGCATGGACGTTTGTACGACACTTTTTAATGTTCTAGCCTTTCTGAAACTTTCAGATATACTTAAATTACAAAATAAAATTGTATACCTTAAATTTAATTAGTAGATCATTTTAAAACCTACATTAAAAATAGTTTTTCGTTTTTCTACATCTCTATTTTTGTTAATTTATTTAGAGTGACGCACGGACATTTTCAGGACACACTATTCAACACCTTGGTATAATATATACAAATATTCTTTGAATTTTAAAGTCTTAAAAATATTTAATGTACACTTACATAAACAGTAGGATACATAGAAGCAATTACAAGTGATTTTTTAATATTTTAATAAATTAATATATGAGAATATATCAATCAATCCAAGTCAGGTTAATAATAAAAAACACACATGTCTAGTTTAACGTTTCGACAGTCACAGCCGTCCTCTTCAGAACGAAAAAAGACATCACGAACACTTATCAATCAATATTCATTGTAGGACATTACATACACGGAGAAAAATGGATAGTTAAAAGTCATTAAAATATACATTTGAAGTAACTCTCTCTGTACAAGGTGAATTAACACTTGTCTTAAAATATAGTTTTTAATTATTTTATTTGAAAATCTTTTTTGGATAATAAAATTAGATGTATTATGTTCAGTGGGATTAATTTATTTATCTCCCATAAGCGAATTTAAATTTTCTACTCATTAGATCATCCTATAATCAATTAATGTTCCAATCCGTTTTGGAATAATACATGTAGTATGAAAAGCTTACATAGATTAATAAATTTTAATTAGTTTTAAGTAAAAAATTTGTATTTAAGTTTAAGTTTTAATATTTTGTTTAAGAATTTTTATTGAAGTCTTAATTTTAAGGCGTTTATGTAGAATATCATTGGATATGTATTGTTATCAGGTTTTTGAAGGACATTTTTTTTAATTTTCATAACAAAAAACAGAATATAAATACTACAATGCAGTGTAACAAAATTAAATAAAATCTTTTTAGTTTTATAGTCACGAATTGTACGTAAAATATATTGAAATACAAATATTTTGTGATAACACTTAAAGGAAGATACTGAACATGGATTATAAAGTAAATCACGAATTATTACTTTTTTCAAGTAAATTCTAAAACTGTGAATGATAAAATTGTTTTAAATAAATTTAAAAGAAGAAAATAACTAAGATTTACAAATTTTTTCTTATATAATTATTTATTCTTATTTCTTGAATAGGGACTTTTGGATAACATGTTTACAGATTCTCTCACCAAGGTTATGTAAGGTAGATATAGAATGAATATATACCACAGTATAAAAAATAGTAAAAATAAGAAACATACGCACACCGTTTTCTATATAATTAAAAAATTTATTTAACTCATGATACATTTAAATATTTCAATAATTTGTTCAATAATGCACGGAGAGAAATCTGCTGCTAATATTACTCGAAAGAGCACATTACTTAAATTGCTTAACGTTTCTCTTATATTTTTAGCATCGATTCATATACTTATTGTAAAAATACTTTCAATGCAATAAGCATAAGAGACAGTAGCTAATTTTGCACGAAATCTTTATTATAAATACAAAGAGAACGTGCTATAAAAGTATTAGATTCTTCTTATAAGAATCGCTCGAACTCCGACTGATTTTCAGGCGGACTTTATACAACACAATCTTACTTGTGTATACGCACATATAACTCACACACACATATATTTCTCTGGACAGTTTTGTCGTCCTGTAAAACATTATATATTATATGTAGTATTTAATACTTGTTGCTGTTATAAAAAGATAATATTTATTTAATAGTAAGTATATTATTTAAAAATGATTGCATTTTTATTCGTGTTTGAATATATAAGCAACATGTGAAAATTGTTAGGTTATGTTATTGCAAACGTCACCGCTTTGTACGCGTTCCATTCCTCGAAACCATCCAGAGAAATATATGTGTGTGTGAGTTATATGTGCGTACACGCAAGTAAGATTGTGTTGTATAAAGTCCGCCTGAAAATCAGTCGGAGTTCGAGCGATTCTTATAAGAAGAATCTAATACTTTTATAGCACGTTCTCTTTATATTTATAATAAAGATTTCGTGCAAAATTAGCAGCTGCTTTTTGTTTTTATTGTATCGAACTCTCCATTACATTAAATAGCTGATTTCGTATATAAATTATTATAACCTCAAGCTAAAATTCTATTCAGCAGTGACTAATAAAATTTGTAAAGATTCTGCAAGCAATAATAGCAACAGATTTCTCTCCGTGTGGTATTACAAAATTTTTATAATCTTATAACTATGTATCGAAATAAGTTCTAGAGCACGGTGGTGTTGAAACATTTTAAACACTTTTGACACATGCCCTTTCCAATTTTTGCACAGGCTTGGTAATCTACCATGTATTGAATATGGCGTAGATTTTGACACTAAGCGCCACCTAGGAGAAGGGTGCAACTAACTTTGAATTTGAATGTGTTAGTGTTAATAGATGTTTTTTAAAGTATTTTTTATTTTTTTATTTGTTTAATATAAAATTACAAAAAAAAGATATAAGAATTGTAATCTGTCATCGCAGGCATCTGGAATTTGGTTAATTTTATAATAATATATATATTATTATTAAAAATCAAATTATAATATTATTGGCTGCTGAAAATCAGATATATTAAAAAGAAATTATACACTTTAAATATTAATTTTATGTCGTCCATATATTTCAAAGATAACAATAAGATTAACAGTACATAATTTAAAAAAAAAATTTTAATTTTACAAACTTTATTAAACTAAAGAAAAAATTTATATTCTACGTTTCTTTACTTATTTTAAATTTAAATAATTACATATAATAATTTATTATAATAATTTTCGTATAAAAAACGTTTTTTAAATGTACTATTCACAAAAAATATTAATTAATTATTCACTTGTAAATATTTATATAAATAATGGAATCAAATCCAATATTTTTCAATAAATATTTAATCAATAATGTCCACATTTGTAAATATTAATAATTAATTTGTAATATTAGTTAAGTATTAATAATTTTAATATAAATTAATTACAAAGTTAATTTGTAAAAATTAACTAAATCAATTTGGAAACGAATTTAAAATAAGTTTAAAATGTACAGTTTAGAAATTTATATAATTTAAAATGATAATTTTTTCAAATATTTGTTCCTCTGTTTTTAAAAAAATACTATTTTTCACATTTTAAATTCGCCTAACATTTTTACAAATGCTTTCTCGATGCTTTTCACTCACTGTTAAATTAGAAGTTTTGCAGAGTTGAGAAAGTGTGCTGACTTTTTATAATGGATTTCCATTTAGCTAATGCTTTTATTACAAGGAAATTCGCATTTGGATTCTTAGTCAAGTTGAAACCAATTTTTCCTTTTAAAATTGCAACAAGGAATGCTGTGGTGGAAGCTATATATTGCTGAATACAAAGAGTCAAAAACAATTCTACTGTTTGATCTCTGTGTTCATGACATTCAAATATCTCTGTTCGAACTTCCTTCTTTAAAAAATCTAAAAGAAAAACAACAATTCCTTTTTCATGTAAAATTGAACTCAAAATTCTGCGAAGAATTGATTTTAAGTCGGAGTGAATTTCCTCTAAACAAGATCGAGAAGCAAATCGGGAGTTTGATGGAGTAAAAGCAAGTTTGTCCACAACAATCTTGCATACTTCACACGACCCAAAAGATGGTAATTTTTTGCAAATTTGTTTCAAAACAAAATCTGTAGCCGTTGAAATTGTACTTTTTTCAGGAATTGGATCTGTTTTACAATAAGTTGCTTTCAGTTTCGACTTAGGTACATTTACAGCAGGTCGTGTTGAATTTGTCTGAGGTTCAACATCAATGGGACCAAAGTAATTTTGCCAGGAAAGAACAAAATTACTTCCATCATCGATGCAATTGGCTCTATCAGAACGACTTTTGCTCATATTATTTATTACTAATGTTTTAAATGAACCTATAAACTGATAGCAAGTCGGTTTTCTATTGGAATTTCCACAAGCTCTAATTCTCGAAAAAAAATTCTCGAGTGGATCTTGATTAAGGTGTTTAGTTTTTAAATTTTTAAAACCTAAACCTTTTAATTTCTCCCATAAATGAATGAATCCTCGAATTGTTGAGATTAAATTCCGAAGGGTTGGCGGTTGTCGAGTTACTAGGATTTTCGTCTTCTTATCAACAAATCGCATTCGAGTTAATATGGATATGGCTTCTTTAAAAAAAGGAATATGAAAACTGTCATCAGTCAATAATGTTCGGAATGGACTTTGTTCGTCGGTTTGTACTTTTCCATTAAATGCGTCTGCTAATTTATTAAAGAATGCACAGACCCATGCAGTATTCGCACCTTCGTCGGGGATTTTTCTAGGTCCCAAGGATGTATTTCTCTCTAGAAATTTTAATTTTAATTATAATTTATTTTTATAAATATATAATTAATAGAACAGAAAATAAGTTATTTTGAAGAAAAGTAGAACTGATTTTTAACGCATTAGAAGAAAAATATGATGAAGAAATCGATATTATTGAATCGAATATCTATTTAATTCTTCAATTTAAATGAGCTTATTAGATGGTTATACATTATTTAAATTTTTAAATAAATACCCTTTCCCCCTGCTAAACCTTCCAATCTGCTTGCAACAGAGAGACTTAAGATCTGGATTGCGTTCTTTACTCGCATTTTCTTTATCTTATTAGGATATATATGTCTATCCGTAAGTTTTGGCAAAAACCTTTGATTTTGCATTCCATACACGTCAATTTCGTACACATCTATGATATGTTCCCAAGAAGCAAATGTCCTCTCCGATGGTCTTTTTTAGGATCAAAATTGAATTCGAGATCTTTGTCAATCAGATTATTCCTTGAACATTTTATCATATGAGGTGGATCAAATAATGGAATTATTTCCATGTCATACAAAATGAAGCAGCCATCTATAAAAATAATGCATAAATATATTCTAGTCATTTTAAAACTTATATCAATTAACAAAACAATGAACTTACACCTCAAAATATATTCACTTCCTTTTAGTTTCTCAGTATCATGCAAAAAAGTATCAATTACTGATTGATTGCTGCTTCCTCCATCGCATATTGTTGCAACGACGTTGAAACCTGCTTCCTTCACAGCCCCTATAACTTCTTTAATGCAGAATGATAGTTGCCCTTTCGTTGTTTGTCCTTCGCAAAAATTGAAGGATATTGGAAGAATATCGCCGCTGTCGATAAATCGCAACATAAAAACGAGTCCATGGTCAGCGAATTTATTTGTGCGGGTGTTTCCCCAATCTTCAAACCCAACAATTTTATCTTTAGTTTCATCGTACTGCAAACCTAAACCTAACAGCAATTCATCCCACATTACAACCACAGCCTTTTCTTTTGCAGATACTGCCGCGTGTCCAGCTACTTTTAATCGAGCCCTAGTTTCTTCTGTTACTCCAGTATCCATCGATACTTTTCTTAAAATTTTCTTTAAAGTTGTAACAGATGGAAATGGTAGAAATGTCCTCAAATACCTGTAGGCCTTGGCTGAAGTCCTTTCTTAAAAACGAGGTGCGTATCGACTAACTTCAAGTGTAGAACTTTTTCTTGATTGGCTATTTTTTCAAAATCCTTTATTCCTTTATTTTGATTGGATAAAATTCAAAATCCTTTATTTTGATTGGATATAATCGAGACGACATTACTTACTGATGTCAAAGCAGCTAACTTCAAGTGTAGAACTTTTTCCTCATTGGCTGATTTTGGCTGATTTTGGCTGATTTTATAATGAGTGTTCCTCATTGGCTGAATTTTATAATGATGGTGACATCACACTTTTAAATTTTCGTTTTTCTCTTTTTTAAAATTAAAATTAAAATAAATTAATTAAAATTTATTTATTAGCTAAAAGTTAACCAAAAGTAGTTTAAGATAAAAATAATTTTTATTTATGATTTGGTTTGTAATAAATGAAAAGTTTTTTTATAATAAAATATATTTAATTTTATGATTCATTTTAGACGCTTCAAAATTGTTGCGCGCGCATCTTTTTTTCCAAACAATTGTTTGTTCGCTACGTAACCTCACCTCAGTGTGAAACGCATAGTTTTTTTTGGTTGGTATGAAAAATTACAAAATATTACAAGTGTCAGCAACTGTCAGCCATTTGCAAAGTGTGACAAGTGTATCGTTTCGATAAGAAGTATTGGCTGTTATTTGCTGAGTGATTTTTTTCTGAAAGTGTTGATTGTGTCAAGAGGTACTAGATTAACAGATACTCTATTAACAGATACTAGATTAACAGATACTAGATTAACAGATACTAAACGGATACAAAACAGATACAAAACAGAAAAATTTACCAAAAATATACTTATATTTAATAATATTAATAATATTAATAGATGAAGATACATTCTTTACATTCTTAATAATCTTCAATAAGAAAGGATAAGATAAAAATTCCAGTTACTGTTAAATGTGACAATAGTAACATTATTTACATGTGTTCTGAATTAATTAATTTTATGAAAAACTATTTTTTAGAAGCGATATCTTTTCAATAAATTGAAAGAAATCATGTCGCACAAAGAAGGAACTGTTAATTTAAGTGTTAAAGATTTTAATATTATACTTACTGAAGGAGGAATGTTAAATGATACTCATATTGATGAATTCGAAAAATTATTGAGAAGGGAATCAAATTCTGCTTTTAGCATGCAAAGCACTTTGTATTTTTATACGCTTGAATTTATTAGTCCGATTGAAAAAGGTAAAAAGCATATTCAAATACTTTTTAGTGGACCTATCAAGAAAGGTCATTGGATTTGCACTTATTATGATGGAATGAGACTTTATATTTATGATAGTCTTAATGAAGGATGTTTAAATGAAGATCAAAGGAAATATTTAAGTAGATTATATCCTTTTAAACCTCCAGTAGTTTTCACAACTGTTGATCAACAACCAAACAATAGTCTTGCTTGTGGAATATGTGCAATAGCATTCGCAACATCGATATTTTTTAATATTATGCCCCACTCTGTCAATTACTATTATTATAACATGAGAAATCATTTAATGTTAATGTTCAAAAACAATCGTTTAAGTAAATTTCCGTCAGTAAGGTCGACTAATATTAGAACTATGACTGTTGGATGTAATTGGGAGTGTCTTCTTAGGAATCGAGCTAGAGAAAAAAGTTTCCAAAATGAAGAAAATAAAATTGTTGACAATAATTTATCATCGTTGAATTCAACCAGCAATGTTTGTAAAAAAATTTTGTTGATAGTTGTTTAGAAGATTTGCCTTTAATTCCAGCAAATGATGTTAATAATATTTCTATTGATTCAAGCAATGGAATGAAAGATACAAGATTAATAATAACTGAGAAGCAAGGAGAAAAAAGAGCTATGGTTCATTTTCCTGAAGAAGAGGAAAAATATAAAATCATAAAACGTCAAAAAAAAGCTGCTTATCAAAAAAAATATCGACAAAAAAAGCGAGAAAATAATAAAATTGTTCGCTCTGAATCATTGGATTCTAATGAATTCATTAGTGCAGAGCAAACTTTAAATACGAGGCCCCAAAGCACATCTACAGCTTTATCATCAGCAGAAGAAAATATTTCTACTTCTAAAGTTAAAACGTCAATTCGTGACAGAAATGTTGCTTACAAGCGCACCTCTCGACAAAATAAACATACTTCTGTTCAAAAACAAAATCAGTCTAATATTATTTCAAAGTCACATATAGAGATAGGTTATTGTAATGAAATGAACATTACACGTGATCATTCTTATGTAAAACTTTGTGAACATAAAGTTAACAGTGAATTATTTATAAAATCAAAAACTAATGATGACTGTAATGATTCAAGAAATGTTACAAAATATACTAATTTAAAAAATGAAAATCAAGTAAAAAAAGATCAATAATACGTTCTTTAGAGGAAAAAGAACAACATCAAGTCATGAAACTTTAAAAGAAAGCTGCTTATCAAAGAAAATTTCGACAAAAAAAACAAGAGAATAATAGAATTCTTAACCCTCAATCACTTCAAACAAAGGACAGTATTATTACAGTGTCAAAATCAAATATAAATTCAGAAAAATCCTCTACAACTGTTACTACATCTTTGGCAAAAGATAATGTAACTGTTACAACAAATTTAGCAAATACTAATATTTCCGGTCGTCAAAAAAATGTAGCTTATCAAAAAACTCATAGCCAAAAAAACGGGATTCTGCACAGAATCAAAATTTCTCTGACAGTATTTCAGTCTCGCATATAGAAGAACATTTTGCTGGTGCGATGAATATTTCATGTGAGCATTGTAATGCTAAACATTTCCAAGCAGAAAGAGTATCTAATAAAAAAAATTCATTTCATGATTGTCGTAAACATGGCGAAGTCATTCTTGAAGATCTACCTGCTCCTCCACTCATATTACAAAATTTATTTGATGGCACCCACGAATTATCTGGGCATTTTCTTCATAATATACGACCTTACAATAATTCATTTGGTTTTGCTTCTTTCAACGCTAACTTAGTTAATTTTAACAATAGACGACCAGGACCATATTGTTTCAAAATACATGGTCAAGTTTATTATCAAATGAATACATCTTTGTATGCAGAAAGGAACGATACTCCTTCATTTGGACAATTATTTATTGTTGATCAAAACGAAGCTTCCGCAATTTGTTGTAAGAATAATGTTCAATTAAACCGAGATATTGTTGATGGAATTGAAACAGCCCTTCGGGACTGTAACCTATTTGCACAGTCCTACCGTATGATGCATGAAGAAATTAAAAAAACAATGACTGAACATAATGCAGAAATTTAGCCTGCGATGCAATTATTATTTTCATTAAAGCCTGGCATGGATAGTAGACGTTATAATTTACAAAGTGTCAATGAAGTTGAAGCAATTTTTACTACAACTGCTGACGGTGATATTCCAGAATCATATGTTACAGTATATAATAAGAATACAAAAAGTTTACAATATATAAATTCTATGAATCCCAATGTTGAGCCATGGATATATCCTTTATTTTATCCACATGGAACAAGAGGTTGGGGCAAAAATCTGACCTGCGCTAATACAAATAAACGTGTATCAAGAGCTGCATACATCAGGCATAGAATGGCTTCTAGGGACAACAATGTATTTTTAAAGGGTGGTAGATTATTTCAGCAATGGATTGTCGACAGTTATGTAAAAAATTGAAAAAGATAGGACAAATTTCTGTCGAAATAATTAAAAGAAACTTCGTGCAGATACTTACGAAGGTCTAATTGATCATTTACAAAGAAGAGCTGATGATTCGAACAATGAAGTTGGGAAAATTGTAATACTTCCATCATCTTTCACAGGTTCTCCGAGAAATATGTTACAGCATTACCAAGATGCAATGGCTATTGTGAGAAAATTTGGTAAACCTGATCTTTTTATTACGATGACGTGTAATCCAAACTGGCGTGAAATTAAGGAAAATTTATTACCTAACCAAACTGCATCTGACAGACCAGATATTGTATCGCGTGTTTTTACCATAAAAAAGATAAACTTATTAATACTATTGTAAAGGAACAATTATTTGGCGTAGTGATTGCTTATGTGTATGTCATTGAATATCAAAAACGTGGATTGCCGCATATGCATTTATTAGTGACTTTGAAACAAAATTATAAAATAACAACACCCGAGATTGTAGACAAATATATTTTGGCAGAAATTCCAAGTCAATCAGAAAATGTTATACTTTATGACATCGTTATGAAAAATATGATTCATGGCCCATGTGGAAATTGGTGTAAAGATAATAATAGTAAATGTTTGAAAGGTTTCCCAAAACAATTCTGTTCTGAGACAATAATGGATGAAAACGGATACCCAACGTATCGCTGCCTTAATACAGGACAATACGATCGCCTAAATGAAGGAACTACAGATAATCAATACGTTGTTCCATACAATCCTACATTACTTCAGTTATTTAATTGTCATATTAATGTAGAAGTAGTTTCAAGTATTAAATCCGTAAAATATTTGTATAAATATATTTTTAAGGGACATGATGCTGCTGCTGTAGTAATTACCGATAGTAGTAATAATACAAGTTCTTTAGAATATAATGAAATAAAAAACTTTATTGAAACTCGATATGTTAGTCCTGTTGAAGCATGTGATAGAATATTTGGAAGACCATTACAGAGTAAAAGTCATTCTATTCTCCGATTACCTGTTCATTTAATTAATCGGCATACTGTAACCATTAGTGAAGAAGCAAATGATGATGCTATAAATGAAGCTTTACAGAAACGGACTATGTTATTAGAATATTTCGATTTAAATAGGCGTGATCCACAAGCTAGACAATATACATATGCAGAAATTCCATGTCAATCAGAACTGTTTCATCTTAGATTACTTTTAATAGTAGTTAAAGGCGCTACAAGTTATGATCATCTGCGAACTGTCAACAATATTGTACATGACATTTTTCGTAGTGCATGTTTAGCAATTAGGCCTTATTGAAGATGATGGAGAATGGGAACGTGCTTTGACAGAAGGAGAAGTATGGATGATGCCACAACAATTAAGACGTTTATTTGTGCGTATTTTAATTTATTGCCATCCAGTTCATCCAAACGAACTTTGGGAAAAGTTTAAAGAGGCTATGTCTGAAGATTATCAGGAAAATTATCCATCTAATGAAGCTCATAAAAGAGCATATAATGATATAATTATCTTTCTGTTGCATGAAGGATCAAATATTCGCAATTTTCCTGAAATGATACAGTTAAATGAAATAAGTATTGAAACAGAAAATCAAGCGAACAACGAAATGTCATTGCAACAACATAAAGAGATTGGTGAAATTGCAATATGTGAAACTGAATTCCAAACAGAAGGATATTGTTGATGAAGTATTAAATGTAGTTATTTAAGAAAAAAGAATACCATCTTCTTCATGTTATTACATTGATGGACCAGGTGGATCCGGAAAAACTTTTGTTTATACAACTTTATACCATTTGTTAAGAAGTAAAGGAAAATGTAATTGTACTATGGCATTTACAGGCATTGCCGCAATATTACTTCCCTGTGGTAAAACTGTACATAAAACATTTGGGATGCCTGTTCCATTGTTCTATGATTCTACATCAAATATTAAAAGTCAATCTAAGGAAGCTACATTTTTGAAAGAGGTTGATGTCTTTATTTGGGATGAAGCTCCAATGACGCCAAGATATGCTATGGAATTAATTGATAGAACATTACGCGATTTTATGAATGTTGATATGCCATATGGTGGAAAAACTATGCTTTTGAGTGGTGATTTTAGACAATTATTGCCTGTTAAAGTTAATGCTACTAGAAGCGAATTAGTTAATTTATCTATTAAATGTAGCACATTATGGAGTCATTTTAAGGTGATATCATTAACAGAAAATATGAGAACTTTACCTGGTGAAAAAGAATTTTCAGAATATTTATTATCAGTTGGAAATGGTACTTTAAATGATAATGATAATAATATACTAGCACCAGAGCAATGTGTAGAAAATGGTGATATCATTCATAAAATATTTGGAGAATTAATTATCAATAATAAATACGATGATTTAGCAAAAGTAGCAATATTGTCTGCTCGAAATGTTGATGTTGATGAATTTAACAACAAGGTACTCAAACTGTTTGATAATAAAAGTGAGCGAATTTATACAAGTGTTGATAGTACCGAAAATTGTGATAATGGAAGTATAAATCATGCTATTTTACCAGAGTATTTGAATACTTTAAATCCATCAAATTTCCCGCCTTATGAATTACGATTAAGAGCCAATTGTATTGTCATGCTACTTCGAAATCTTAGTATTAATGAAGGTTTATGTAATGGAACGCGAATGCAGGTATTAGAACTATCAAACAATCTGCTACGTTGTCGTATTTCAACAGGTGATAATCTTGGGAATCATTAATTATATATTTAGGAAATCAAAGACCTAATTTACTAATCAAGAATTATGTTTACACTCAATTATTGAAATAAAAGTAAATATTTTTTCTATAAAAATGTCTGAGTCGTTATATATTTTTTTTCTTAAAAAGGAGCGTGTCTCAGTATGGCTGTCTTTACGCGTAAGACTTTCTTCGACGCTTGTTATTGGTAAATTACGTCATTTTTTTGTAATAAGATTCACACGTAAGATTTCTTTACACGTTTCTTTCTTATCAATTGGTCAAAGACGTTTTAATTTCCTAATTTCAAATAATAGTTCAAACTTCAGATAATTAAGACACTTATTTGTACGTATTTTAATGTACTGCCAACCAGTTCATCCAAATGAACTTTGAAAAAAGTTTAAAGATAATATTTCTCAAGATTATTAACGAAATTTTGCATCCCATGAATCTTATAGAAAAGCATATATTGAAATAAATTATTTTCTTCGAAATGACGGAGTACTTACATTTTTTGTATAATATTTACAGAAACCACACTTATATTTCTTTTTTATAGCAAAAGTAGGAACGATTTTAAGAAACAAAAGTAAATTTTTAATTTAATATCCTCTGTTTATGGCTTTCTTTTACAGTAGAGATGTTTTTTTGCTAGCTAAGTAAAAAATAGTTAAAAATTGTTTATTTAGTAACGTTTTTCTTTCATCACTATTTTTTAAAATATAAATTTACTATGGAAGATTTTAAATGTTACAAAATTTAATTAACAAATAGATTACTTTGATTATAAAAAGGTTTTCTATAACTTCATCGTACAAAACTTTTTATAAAATGTGCCATTCTTGAAATATACGCTTTTCTTTAAGCAAAGAAAAGTGTTGTTTTTTTATCAAAACCATAAACTTTAGAAATGATACATTTAGAAACAGATAAAAACAGAACTAGAATTGTAAAGGTATAAAAAATTGTTTTACGCACAACATAGGCTATTATTTTATTAAATTGAATAATATTTAAAAATTCCTATTATCAGAAACTGTCACTCAAATTGATACCTTAACAAACAAAAGACTGTAATTTAAAGAATAAAAATGCAAGAGAAAAAACGCGCGCGCGGTAGCGCGCGATCGTTTTCGTATTATAAATAGATAAGCATATTATTTGCTCTTCATTTGTAAATCGCCGGCCTGAAGGATCTCTGAGTCCATTTCTAAGAATCATTTCTATAAATGATTGCTGTACTCTCGTTAGTTTGTGGAGAATTCGCTGACATCTTCTCGTTTCTAAACAGTCTTCTGGCTTTTTCAACTTGCGTTTACATCTAATATAGAAGGAATATATGGGTTCTTGGAATGTAACGAAACTACTCTTAGAAATAAGTTATTTATTAATCGCATTACAATACATTCTACTATTACTACTCATAATTACTACTTTCTTGTATCAATATAACGATTTTTTAAATGAAATCTAATTTTAAATTAAAATTTCATTTATAATCTGTACAATCAAAAGTGTGCGTTTTTAATTATTTTTGATTATGTTATAAAGTTGATACCTTTGCAACCTTCTCTGTAAATTGTATAATTTAGCCTTTTTCGACTGCAAACGTTTAAATAACTCTCTCTCTCTCTGAGTGATGATGCAGAAGACAGTTCCTTCCAAGAGCGTCGACTATTTGGTCTAACGTAAACGTTTGATGATTCCAGCGAATTTGAGCGTTCTGTGGTTCCGTTTTTCGTAAAAATACTTTCATTTTCCTTATTTTGTTCTGCTTCACTTGATGTTTCCATTTGCTGAGTTTTGTCTTCCGCATTAAATAAATTTGGTATCCCAGGTTCGTTCAAAGGCTCAGAATGTTGCACAATTGAAGTGTCCATAGGTTCTTGGACAAAAGGTGTCGCATGAGAGTCGATAGCCTGTTAAGAGTAGAACGTTATACTAATTTACATACAAAATAACAAATGTATTACAATTTTATGTGCTTATAAAATTTTCGAAAAAAATGAAATTTTTTTATGAAACTTATATTTTTATAAAAGAAATTTTGCAAATTACAACTTACTGTGTTCAAATCAATTCGATTTTCCGAGGTTTCTTGCGCAGGTGATTCATTAATTACAGAAGTGGTTGCAGAAATATCTAGGACAATTGTTTCCAAAGATGATTTGTTCTGATGTAAATGAATATCACCTGACAAAAATTCTGATTGCGATGGCACTAAATTTTCTGTCGGAACTGCATCGTTTTTTAATCTTGAAGCGCCATTTTGAGTTTTTATTAAATAAGCACTGGGTAAGAAATGATTAGGGCAAACAAATAATTCCTTGGAGGTAATCTCCTTATCAGTAAGGGTCTTTAAATTTGGACATCCGATTTTATCTAACCACTTCTTTCTAATGCTGTCTTTTCTAGGGATTTTGTGACAAAGTTGTTTTTTACCACACACTCTCTTACAATAACCACAACCGGGCACGACACAAATTCCTCCATGGATTTTACTTTAACTTTCCATTTGTAAATTCAAATTATTTTTTCGAAAGAATTAAAAATCAAAACGGTACTATAACCACACACGAATGACAGTTGGTTTCAAAACAAACTTTCGCGGCTGTCACATGTTCATTTCGACATCAGCGCTACCTACCAGGGTGGCGGAACTACTTCCCCCTTCACTCCGTTCACCCCTGTCCTATACTTTAAAATTTGCCATATTTTTGAAGAAGGTTACCGAGCCTGATTTTTGCATAAAACATTTCCACACCATCTACAGCATTGATTTTAACTTAAATCAAAATCGCGTATTGGGACAATTTTTTTTAAAGAAATTAATTTTTAAATTAAAAAAAAATTTTGATTTTGTTTAATGATACTCCTCCAAAAAGTAGATTTCAACTTTTTGTTTTAAATAACTTAGTTTTGATAATAAAAACATAAAAAGCGAAAAAAATTGAATTTTTTATTAATACTAGAAAATTCACTTTGAGGTGAGACGAAATACATGGGAATCAGGGGGATCATCTTGTACACACATTGAGGGATCATCTTGCCCCAAATGCCACTATTTTGTAATTTGTTCGTAACTTAACCTACGAGCACTGTTATTCCATAATACCAATCGGAACACTTAATTGAAGATATACTGAAGCTGTGAGTATAAGAAAAATGGAATTTCAGCTGCTACAACAAAAGTTATCTAAGTACAAAGTTAAGCTTTTCTTAGATCAAAAGTATGAAATTTTTATTTTTAACAATAGAATTTTTTTAATGACGCGTTGTCATGACAGTTTGACTGATTCATAGGTATGTCATTGGTATTATCGTATTTGCCTAAAAGGTGTCGCTAATAGGCTCTCCAAAATTCAAAAGGATCATCTTGCCCCAGGGGATCATTTCGTACACCTTTTCCTTATAAAGAAAAAAAAAATTTCCAAAAAAAGCAAACATGGTTAAAAAATTAACTATAATAATCATCGTATTCATTCTGTCCAGTCTGTCCACACCTGAAGTTAGTCATGGTTATTCTTTTGTTTTTTATTCGTTTTGATAGAAAATAGAAATAAAATATAAAATAACGATTTTTTAACAAAATTTATGCTTTTGTTTTTTATATGTTTTGATAGATAATATTACATTTCTTTATTTTGTTTGTATTTTTTTTGATTTAATGATATTATTTTTATTTCTCAAATAATTCAAAAATATTTTTATTAATCTAATAAAATTATTCATATTATTACACCGTCCGACAAAATTTAACTTTTTTTTCACACACAAAAAAATCAAACATTTTCGGAAACTAGGACCAAAAAAAAATACCCGTGTTTGGCCGTTTTGCTGGATCAAATCGTTTGTGGCTTTTAGGGGTGAAAACAACCCTTAAATGAAAAGTGACAAGTTATATTTTAAAAATAGATTCAATTTGCCTAAAACTCGTTACTCAGGGGTTTTTGAGGTCGCAGATCACGAATCCGATGTCGGTTTTTTAAAATTCAAAATGGCGGATCCAATATGGCGGCTGTCAAAATAAAAAATTGATCGGATTCGCTTGAAACTTGTTACTCGGGGGTTTTTGGGGTCACTGATCACGAATCCGATGTCGGTTTTTTTAAATTTTAAATGGCGGATCCAATATGGCGGCTGTCAAAATAAAAAATTGATCGGATTCGCTTGAAACTTGTTACTCGGGGGTTTTTGGGGTCGCTAATCACGAATCCGATGTCGGTTTTTTAAAATTTTAAATGGCGGATCCAATATGGCGGCTGTCAAAATAAAAAATTGATCGGATTCGCTTGAAACTTGTTACTCGGGGGTTTTTGGGGTCGCTAATCACGAATCCGATGTCAGTTTTTCAAAATTCAGAATGTCGGATCCAATATGGCTGTCAACATTTTTAAAAATAGATTGAATTTCCCTGAAACTTGTTACTCAGGGGGTTTTTGGGATCGCTGATTAAGAATCTTAAGTCAGATTTTCAAAATTAAAAATGTAGGATCAAAATGTAGATTACAGATCTAGAATGAAACTGGAAAATTTAATTGTGTGATTCTTTTTTGTTTTTTGCAATTAAATATTCTTAATTGATTTTAAACGATTTTTAAACTACTAACTTTTTCATTTATTAGCAAACTTTCTGTTAGAATTCATAGCTTTGAAAATTGATATGTACAAGTTTTAGAACAAATTTAATAGAGTAATTTGAATTTAGTTGATGTAACTCGTAAGAATTCTCACATTACTTACGTAAATTTTATACGCTTATTTTTACGATTAAAGGATTCAGTGTCCGTATCCCGACAAAGTTACCAGCAGTACTCTCCAAGCATATTTCGAATGTCCTTTCCTTTGTATCGAGTCTCGATTGTTGCGATGTCTTGATGAAAGCGTTCGCCATGCTCATCACTGAAGTCTCCAAGATTAGACGGAAAAAAGTCCAAATGATTGTGTAAGAAATGAATTTTGAGTGACATGTTAACACCCATCACACCATACGCGGAAATCATTTTTTTGACAATTGTTTTATAATTATTCGCCCTTTTGTTTCCAAGGAAATTTTCCACAACATCTACTAAACATTCCCATGCTTTTCGTTCGATTGGTTTTAATAATTTCGGAAATTGTTCGTCCTTAATCAGTTTCGCTATTTGCGGACCATTGAAAACGCCTGAAAATAATTTTAAATGAATTAATTAGAAATTTTACATTCTTAATATGATAATTTACCAGCTTCGATTTTTGCGTCGCTCAGTTTTGGGAAGATTTTTTTCAAAAACTTGAAGGCTTCACCATTAGGATCCAGTGCACGAACGAAATTTCGGAAAAGGCCCAACTTAATGTGGAGAGGTGGAAAAATAATATCACAGCCGTCTACTAGTGGATTGTGATCAATGCTCAATTCGCCTAGCTTAAAATTCGTTCGAGTATTCCATTTAAAGTTGGTGTAATGGTGTTCCCTTTTGCGTCCCTCCCAAACACACAGAAAGCATTGATGTCTTGAAAAGCCTTGCTTAATACCAGTTAACAACGCAACAACTTTTAAATCGCAACAAATTTTCCATTTATACTCATTGTAATTGATAACCTCCAGAATTAGCTTCATATTTTCATAATTTTCCGACATATTTGTAGCGTAGGCAATTGGAATTGATGGAAATTTATTTCCAATGTGAAGTAATACTACTTTTAGACTAGATACAGAAGAGTCTATGAAAAGCCGCCATTCTTCAGGAGCATGAGGGTAACCTATGTCATCAAACAATGCGCCGATGTCACTGCAATAACAAAAATTTTTTTCCGTATCTTCATGCATAACAAAATATTTACTAAAGGGCTCAG